CACAAACACACACAAACTGTGATTGAGACACATACAAGTGGCAGAGAGACACACACACAAACTGATTGAGACACACACCCACACACTGAGTCACAGATGCACATGCACACATTCACATGCCTTGCCTACACTACGATAATAAAGCATTGCTGGCAATATTTCTCTTCCTCTGCAGCCTGCACCCCAACATTCAGTGACTTTGCCCTCATTCCTTTCCTCAGCATGGCCCATGCTCAATCCAAGCTGCTCATGTTTAACCTGTCCCTTGGGCAGATCCCAGGCCAGTGCCTGCAGCATCCCTTGATGGCCCTGAAACATATGGGCCAGGCCTGAACCCAGACAGCGCTGCGGTAGATTCCCTGCAAAGGTCAGAGTGGAGGGGAAAAGACAGTGATGATGCCAAGGGAAAGGGAGCCGAGCAACCAGGCCAGCTCAGATCATGCCCCCATGCCATGAATCAATGGGATTCTCCTGAGAAAGGCTACCAGACTTCCCCAGCTAAGACTCACCAACTCTCTACCCATACCTAGCACCTGAGGAACTCAAATTGCTCACACACAGGGCCAAAGCCTCCCAGCTGCCCTGTGCCAAGTTCACTATCTTCACAGGGTGACACTGAGACCCAGAGAGGGGAGGAGACCTGCTCTAGGGCACAGTGAATAAATAGAACACAACCCAGCTGTTCTGACTCAAACATTAGGGCATATTCCCTACTTCATATGCCAGCCTGAGGATGAGAAAGGAGGGGAGAAAACCATGCAGAGGAATTTAGCAAACAAGCCAACCACAGAAACCATTGTGTCCCCCATACCTCCTCTGCCAGCAGTAAACTAACCTGGCTATGTCTTCACTGCAGAATTAACCACAGTTATCTCCTCTGGAGTGAACTCCTCTTGAGTTAGCCTAGTTCAAGTGAGAACAGCTAGGTTGAAAAATAACATCCCAGTTGCACAGAGTGGTCATGTTAGCAGCTGACAAGTTGGACTAACTCGAGTGTAACCTATACTCCCTGACTGGTCAGGCCACTTAAGCTGAAAGCACCACCAAACTCAGTGAAGCGGTTTTGTGTGTGGATGGGACTTGAGTTAACTCTGCAGTGAAGACAGGATCCTCCTATATGTGAAGAGTAGTTCACAATACACCACAAACCAATTCCTAAAGTGGCTTGAGTTAATGAGGCACAAAGAACCCTGTGATATATCCCGGAAATCCTAGTGCCAAACATGTGTAACTGCTGTGCCAATGTGGACATGGCTACCCAGGAATGGGGCGAGTGCAGCTCTGCAGTGTAGACATAACCCTAGTATCCCCTAATCTCCATGCTGCTAGTGGCAAACTTAAGCCAAGTGTTTCAGACAGTAAGTACAGGAAATATGTGCCTCTGTGTGTGTGTGCATAAACATGTGAGTGTATGTCAATGTGTGCTTGTGTTAGCATGCAAGTATGCACATGTGAAGAGGTACATCCATGAGCAGGGGAGTGTGTCTGGACATTCAGGTGTGTGCGCGTGCTTATGTGTGAATGCATGCAAGCATCTGCACTCATGTGAGTACATGTGCACATGCATGAGGATGCAAATGTGGCCGTGTGTGCTCATGTTAGTGTGTGCACATGCATGAGTGGGGAGACGTCAGCCCGTGTGGTCATGTGAGCGTGTGTGTACATACATAAGTGTATGAGTGGGAACATGCCAGCGTGTGTGCATGAATGAGCATGCAAATGTGAGCATGTGAGCACAAGCATGTGCATTGTGAGTTGGGACCATGTGCGTATTGCAAGCAGGTATATGTGGGCATGGGCATGTCAGCATGTGTGCTTATGCGAGTGTGTGTGCAGGCCTGAGCTTGCAAGTGGCAGCATGTCAGTGTGTATGCTCATGTGAGTGTGTTGTACGTGCATGAGCGTGCGAGTGAGAGCATGTCAGCATGTGTGCTCAGGCAAGCATGTTGTGCAGACATATAAGATGTGCCTGTCTGGATTAGCCCACCTGCCCATGCAGCTGGAACCCAGACTCTAACAGTGGTCAGGACCTGCACTCTCTAAGCCATTTCTCAAGCATTTCCCCTAGTTAGACCCTTCACACAATGTCCTTTGTCTCTCTGATGGTTCATTGGGCTGGCTCTGTCCCTGCTGTGTGCCTCTACTCACTCACCCATGGCCAGTTTGCAGACCAGTCTTGCTGTTTATTTCAGTGGGGTCAGGTCAGGCCTGGGTTCCTCCTTGAGCAAACTTAGTGTCTGGTTGTCAACCTCAGTGCAGCTGCCCAGGGGATAGCAAGGGAGCAAGCACTAGTGTGGTCAGGGCTCCAGCTTCTCCAGGTCAGTGTCCTGAAGCCATGCACCTGCATGCGTGCACACAGCATGCACACACACAGACCTTGGTGACATGGTGCTAAAATGTCAGAGCCCTGCCTACACTAGCACTTGCATGGGTGCTGAATAACTGCAGATGCAAACTGTAGTTTCTGTTTGTGCTGTTGCAGATCCCGCCTCGCATGCGGATTGGAGTTGGTGTGTTTCCATCTGTTTGCCTGTGTTTATGTTGGCATAGGTGTAAGTGTGAGTGAGAGAGTTTGCCAGTGCGTGCACCTCTGTGTGTGCATGTATACATAAATAAATGGAGATATCCTATCTCCTAGAACTGGAAGGGACCTTGAAAGGTCATCGAGTCCAGCCCCCTGCCTTCACTAGCAGGACCAAAGAGTATGTCAAAGAGTTTTCCTGTGTGTGTATATAGAGGATGTTGTTAGGGGAGTTTGCATGTGTGTGTGTGTGTATGCCGGTGTATGTACATGTGTGCGCCAGTGTGTGTGTGTCTGCAGCTCTCTCTGTGTGTGCATGTGTATGAGAGGAAAAATTGCCTTGTGAGTGTAGGTGCAGGTACAGTGGGGAAGGGTTTTAATTTATGGAAAAATGTGCCACTTAGCAGGGAATAAATCCTCCCCAAAGCCAGTCCCACAAGGAGAGCCCTTTGCATTTCCCTTTGGAGGCTTTTTTTGGTTTGTGGCTAATGCAGCCCAGATGTGCGCAGGGGCTGTGCCCTCGCAGTGCCTGCCAAATAGGAGCTGGGTATATCGGTTCCTGTCAGGATCCAAGTGTTTCTGATGAGTGACAAAGCCGAGGGGCTTTGAATCTCTGAGCTTCACAGCTCATTCTAGGACTCATTCCCTTCTCTTCTCCCCAAAGACAGAAAATCCAACTTCCCCCAGCATCATGTACTTGGGGAGACAGAATGGGATGGGGACCAGGTTGGATTTTGCTAGACACTTGCCCTTCTCCATCTCCCCTTCCTCTGTACATTGTTCTTCTTCCATTTCTCAGCTTGTCTGTCCCTCCTTAATCCGCTCAGAGATTTTCGTTGTTCCGCACTCTTGGCCGAGAAACAGCCCTTGCCAGCTCCAGACCAGACAGACAGACAGCATGTTTCTGGGGATTGTGCATGGAGAATTCAGATTTCTAGTCCTCAGAGATCTGAAGAGCAAATCCTCCCCTGGGGTTTCATTCTGTCTCTGTCTGTCCATACAGAGATAGGTTCGGTAAGTCTTTCTGTCCTCACACTTTTTTGGCCCTTCTCCCTCACTTTCCCCACTATGCCCTTCCTGACTCACTCCAGCACCTCCAGTCTGGAACAAAAAATGAACACAAATTTTTTTGTTTTTCAAATAACTGACTCTATCCAAAGGAGGAGAATCTCACCTCATCCTGTGCACCAAACCTAACAGCATAATTGTCAAAAGAGCGAGTCCAGGAAAGTCAAGATTTTGACCTTTTAAGGGTTGTTTTTACAATTTTATTTTATTTTAATGGCAACCTCTTTCCCAGAAAGCTTGCAGTGTAGTCTGCAAAACACAAAACCCCTACTGCTTATACAAATTACACCCTCCATGCTCTGGGACCGTTCCTTTCCTTGAAAAGATTTTTTGCTCCCCCACAAAGGGACTTTTCTAACTAGGTTTCAAATGTTAAAACTCCAAAGATTAACAAACAAAAAAAAAGTCATTCACAACCAAGAAAAGCTCTGGAGAATTTTGAAGGGGGAGTGCATACCTTCCAAAGAAGGGTATTTCCTCAGTGTCCCTGAAACCTAGCTTCAATATCCATTGAAAAATGCAGACTATTTTAGCAACCAAACCCTTTCTCTTTTTTTGGTGTAAGTGCTTAAATCAAGCCATAGGAAGAAAAAAAATCTTTCTGCTCCAAGTCCTGGTGACTTTCATTTTCCTCTTCTCTCTGTCAGTTCTGGATTTTAATTCTCCGTGCTAAGCGGCATTTCCCCCACAGTAATCACAAACATGCATGGAAAAGAGAGAACGAGAGAAAGCAAAGAAAAAAAAGGGGGGAAAGTCTTAAATCAATCACAAAGCCAGACAGACGTTTTAATCAAATCAAATTAGAATCAGCAGCGGTTCAGAAAAGAAAAACACGACACGCACAGCAAGACCCCCGCCCCTACACCCCCATCCCCTGCCAAAATAGTAGAGACGCTTCAGTCTTACCTGAAATCTCCCCAGAAACATATAGCATAGTAGACTCAGATTGTGGGGTTGGGGTGGGGGAAGGAAGGCTGCAGAATTTGTTCAATAGAAAACAAACTATTTGATTAGTTATTACTCTAAACCCAAAGCCCCAAGCGAATGGCGAAGCCTCACTTTCTCCCTGATCGTTCTGCCCTGTCTCTCTCTCTCTCTCCCCCTCTCTTTTTCCTCTTCCCTATTTGTTTTGGTTTGTGTTTGCTTGGGTGTTAGGTGGAAAAAGCTGTCTAGGATATTTTTTTTGGTGTGTGTGTGTGTGTGTGCGCACAAAGTTTTAAACATGCTCTCTCGCTCTCTCCCCCTTTCCACCTCCCTTGATTTGCTCTTTTGATTGGTGTCCAGGAATGCAAGAATAAAAAAAATTGCATACACCCTCTCTCCAAGCTGCTTGCTTTTTTTTTTTTAAATTCAAGTGTTAAGCAGAACCAGGTTGCTTTCAAGAATGTATTTGATGCAATTGTACACAAGAGCAGGCTCCATTCATTTTTCTCTTTTTCCCCTCCTCCCCCCCTTGGCTCTTCAGCTTTGGGCAAAGGTAGGGAGCTATGGAACTAAAGGGCGACATGCTTTTCTGAAAGCAAGAGGAGGAGGAAAAAAAGAGACATTTTAAAAATAGATCTTAGAGGATAGGGGGGAATGCCACCCCTTTCACACACACCCCAGATCTTTGGATGTTGCAAAGCTTTTGTTAATGGCATCGAGTGGAAAGAGATTGCGAAAAATTAAAGAGTGTTTCCCAAAGAGTTGTGGGTGGAGGGCGCGCTGGGTGGGGAGGGGAGATGGGACGCAGCAGGCAAGGAGGAGGGGGAGGGCTGGCTTCCCTTTGGAGAAGGGGAGGTTGGGAAAGGTGTAGAGGTCTCCCTACCTGCTCTGAAATCCATTTGGTAAAGCCAAAGCTACACTCAGGACTTGCAGCCCTTCAAGGTAGGTTTGTGATTTAGTGCTTCCTTTCTCCAAGGGGGCTGCACAGAGTCTGCGGTCCTTTATTTTTGGCCAGGATTAATAATCCCATTTGCCAATCCCACTCATTTAGGGTTTGGTTTGGGTTGGTGTGTGGTTTTCTTTCTTTCTTTTTTTTTTATGAGGATATTCTTTAGCCCTCTTTTTTTTTCCTGACGTGTAAAGCTTTAACCACAAGCTGAAACACCAGTCCCTGGGGGAGGGGGGGGTGTGCAAAGGGGGGAGAGGAGGAGAGGTAGAGGCAGATTGGTTATTCTCTTTTCTACAAAAGAAAGTTTTAGTAGGAGGGGGTGAGGTAAGCATGCGGTGCCACCCTGTGTCAGAAACATCGGAGTGTCAGAGAGATGGGGGGGGGGCAGTGAGTGAGAGAGAAGGGCACAGTCAGAGAAAGAATGGAGAGAGAGAGAGAGAGAAAGAAGGAAAGATACAGACAGATGGAAAAAAAGAAGAAGGAAAGAGAGAGAGAAATATACATAGACAACAGAAAGAAGGGAAAAAGGAAGGAGATAGATAGATGATAGATAGATAGATAGATAGATAGATAGATGACAGAATCTGTCTCAGTCTCTCCTCTCCTTTCTATAATGTTCAGCCCCTCGCTCCTCTTTCTCTCTCTTCCTCACATTCCAGAATTTTTTTTTAAAGTTTTGCCCATAAGAAAAAACCCTACAAGCCCAAAGGCAGCCCTCTGCCCTTGCCCCAGCCCAAATGCCAGATGCGGGACTTGGAAAAGTTATACTGGTTCATTCATTTTTTTCTCCCCTTTCTGCTGACCTTTCATGGGAAACCAAATACAGTTGATTGTTGATTTTTTTTTTAATTGTTTTTCTCTAAACAAGGGAGAAAAGGAAGCCGCGTGCAGTGGTTTAGTCATCAGCAGGTGACTAACCCTGCTAAGCATTTCACCAGGCGACAGACACCAGAATGGGATGGATGGGGGTGAGTGCAAATATTTTGATGAAAGGAGAGTTGTGGGGTTTCTGGGGGGGTGGAATTCTGAGTTTCTCCCCTCCCCCCTCACTAAAGTTCACACATTTTCTATTTTTCATTCATTCTTTCTTCCTCCCTTTGTGTGTGTGTGTGGGGGGGGGGTTAGATTTGTGATTCATTAATCAGCAAAAGGCATCATAGCCCCATTTCAACACAAGACCTTTCAACTGCATATTGTGACTCAGCACTAGGCTCCAACTTCTTACAAAGTTAGATGCAGAGGCAGCTTTCCCATCTGCTTGGTGTTATTTTTCAAAATAAATGTGTCTGCTTTCAAAATTTGAAATATTTAATAATTAAAAATATTTTGCTAAATCTAAACGCAGCAGAATAAATATTTCCTCCCTAAAACAGGTGACCAATGTCCAAAAAGACATCATCCCTTCCTCCAGGAATATTTTATGTACAATAAATACTTAACACACACCTTATATATATACACACACACAATGTAAATTTAAATGCATTTAAAAGTCTAATAGGTTCTGCAGGCATTTATAGTCATCGTTCTGTTTCTCCCTTGTTTTGCATCTACACATATATTTGTGTGTGCACAAGAACTACATAATGGTATGGGCCCAATCCTGCAGTCCTTCCTCTGGCAAAATTCCCATTCACCAGTTTGCAAAATACATACAAAACTCATTGCAGTATTGTGTAGCACTGGTGTCCAAATTCAGTGAGTTTTCCCTCTCTGAACAACTGCTCTAGAGAATGACATAAAAAACGTCAAGATCTGTGTAAAAACTCAAGTTTTGTTTGGTTTTAGAAGTCTGGTTTAATATAGATGCGTGACTTTTTTTCTTAAAAGATTTACAAACAAGAATATTTCTTTTTTGCATAGTGCAACAGCTAAAAAAGAGTTTCTTTTTAATTAGCCTCATTTATGGGACAAGCTTTGCTCTTGGTGTCTCTATAAACTAGATGAGAACTTTGGAAATAAACTTTGCATTTAAAATAAACTATCAAATGTTATTAAACTTGGTTTGTTGGGGATATGGGAAAAGCAAAAAAAGCAAAAATAAAAAACAGACAAAAAATCCCAAACCCTGTTTATTCACATTAGTAAATATTTACATTTTTTTCAAACAAGAAAAGCAGGGAGAGCTTTTTGTTCTGTAGAACAAAATACAATCAATGGATTCAAAATTATTTTCATTTGTGAACCATACTTGTTGCTGTTGTTGTTAAAACTTTACTAGTATTTATAGTTTTTTTCTTTTCCACAAAGTATTACAATCCTTTTAACTGTGGGGAGGGGGGAGAGAAAGAGAGAAATGCATTCAGTTTTGCAAGTTTTCTCTTAATGCTTTGTGTAAAACAAAGGCACTTACAGACACAACTTGTCTTAGATTTTTAAACAGTGCCTGAAGCTCCTAAAAATTAGTTTAAAATACAACCAGGGTTTTAAAAGCACCCAATATCGCAACATTTTTGTTTGAAAGTTCTTCAACTATTTTTTTCTCTTTGGTGGTACTCACCATAAGAGTGTGAATAACTCAAGTTTTCTGCCATTTCTTAAACAGCAGCTCTGCTATCATTTACAACTTGTTATGTATAATCATTTATATACGTGTGTGTATATTGATTTATGTAACAAATACACGAACAGATTTAAGTGAGCCTATATGGCAATACATACAATGATATGAATATCTACAATACAAATACTGACATACTTATGTACACTTCTGTATTTCTTTTTAGATAAACACAATTCTAAGTGTGTAATATGTACACATACACCCCCAATATCCTTATTCCATCCCATGTTTTTATTAGATACACAATATCTGACTGTAGGGAAATGTAGGTTACAGGCTGGTTAAAATGGGGGATTGTTTCCTTTGCAACATTAACAGGCAAAATGTGAGCCCAGAATGCACGTCTGAAATTGTGTTTGTTTCGTTCTCAATCCAAGGGAATGCTTTTTTTTTTTTAAAAACTGCTCAGAGCTGGCAGGCGGGAATGGGGCAGTGCGATATGCCACCAGGAAAGCTTTGGAGACCCACTGATATTGCTGAGCAATTAGAGACAAGGAAATTCTTTTCTTGGCTTCGGAAAACTGGGGGTTTACCCTTCCGCAGAGGGACATTGCACAACACTAGCTTTCAGCATTCATGCCTGCCAGCCACAGGTAACAAGAGACAGAGGGAGGGGAGTGGGAAGAAAAGAAAAGAAAAGAAAAGAAAAGTAGGTGCCTCTTTGTAAGGTTCCCCAATTCCACGCTTTTCTTCAGGACTGAGTCACACTCTATACCCCTGTAATACCCGGGGAGGTGGTGGAATCCCCAATAACCTAGAACAAGATCTCTGAATGTGGGACAGACTGGGGGGGGGGGAGAATCCCTTTATTTCTCATTTTCTGTCATTCAGATGAAGCGATAGAAGGACAAACAGAGCAAGGGCTGAAGAACAAACGTTGAAAGCTAGAAGCAATCCCTTCCTCAGGCACAGACTGACTGAATTGGGGTCTTTTTGCTTTTACGAAAAGGAACTGCTTCCCAGTTCCAGTCAAACAGACCCTGCCACGATTGCAGCCCTGAGACAGAGCAAGAGAAGCTCACTGGATTAGCTTAATAAAATATCTTCTCATCCCAATAAAGCTACTGATACTGATAGTAACTTTGTCCTTCCTAGAGCCTCTTCCCCTCCTTCACTCAACATAGGGAAAAGTCCCTCCCTGGGAGATGTGGTATCACAGTACCAGAGCTTGGGAAGTGGGGTTACCCTCCGCCCCTCTCACTTTGCTCTGGCTAGTATAACCTGCTGTAAGGATGTCCCAGTTTATATTCAAGTGGGGGGGGGAACGGGGAAGAGGTTCAGTCCCAAGTCTCTAGGTGAGGGGCAGCACTGTGGGGAAAGTTCTCTCAACCCCTACCCCTGCCTGGCTATTTCCTTTATACCCCAACCTTCACTGCATCAGGGACCCCATCCCACCCCAGACATTCCCCCCACCTTGGGGACCATCTCTTCTGGATGCTCCCATCTTCACTATTTAAGCACCATGGATGCTCAACCAGTCCAGTGTAGTTCCTTGTGCATGTCAATATGGGACAGTCCCCCCCAACAGTATATTTCTGCCTGGCCTTCTTAGTGGTGCTGCAGAGTATTTGGCCTCCCCTTCCAGCAGGTTGATAGGGAAGCCCCCTACAGCTAACAGCTGGGGAAAGAAGCACTTAAGTCTCCTGTGTCCAGAGGTCACCATGGTGCAGTCGTAATCTTAGGGAGCTGAAACACCCGAGCCAAAGGTCAGGTAGCTGACTGCAGTCTTGGTGCCTGGGTGCAAGAGCTAGGCAGGAGACTAAGGGTATAGATACTCTGCAACTGGGAGCGTGCTTGCCAGTGCGGGCAGATAGATGTTCTAGCTCTGCTCGAGCTAGTCCGCTGAAAATACTAGCGGGGCCATGGCAGCACAGGCGGCTGCTCAGGCTAGCCACCCCTAACAATGTACCCAGGGGGTCGGGCAGGTTTGTACTCGGGTGGCTAGCCCGAGCTACCACCCATGAATCTGTGGCCACACTACTATATTTAGTGTAATAGCTTGAGCAGAGCTAATGCGTGACTGTCTACCCGCGCTGGAAAGCACGCTCCCAGTTACAGTGTAGCTGTACCCTAAAAGGGGTCCTCCCCAGGCTTCCTCAGCACCACATAGGGCTGATGCTGCTGTGTTTTGCAGGGAAAGGGTTCTGGGTTGGAGAAGCTGGGGCTCACAATAAACTGCCTCCCCTTGGCTGGGTGGGAAGTGGTGGCTGATGGGGCAGCCATGGGGGTGGGGGCTCGGTTCCCTGAGACCAATCAAGTGTCATCCTGACCCTTGTCTGTGTGGCTGCCTGGAGCAGTGGTGGGGCTGTTAGAGAGGAGGAGAGAGGAAAGCCCTTCCTCACCCAGGGAGAGAGCTTCCCACTCCTCCCCAAGCAGTCCCAGGCGCTGTCTGGATCCTCCCCATTTTGGGGGTGTTAACAAGGAAAGCTGGGTCTGGGCAGGTTCCAGCCAGGACATGGCTATTGGCACTGAGGCTTTGCTTGGCAGGGTCTGGGATGAGCAACAGGTTTGAGATGGGGGCCAGCTGGCCCCATCTGTCATACTAGGCCTCTCAGCAGCCTTGGAGCTGGTGGGCTGGAGCTGCCCTGCAGACAAGAGCTGATGGGAGGGTCACCCCTCCAAAGCCCCGCCCATCTTCTGGGCTCTTTGTGTATCCCAGAGGGCTCTTGGGCAGATTGTATCTAAGAATAGGGTACAGCGTCCCTGGTATGTGGCTCACGTGGGTGATACTTGGATGCCCCATGGCCCTGGCTGCTTCAGACTCTGTCTGGGAGAGACTGTTGGGTAGCATTGCTGGTGGCAGGTTTCAAGGCTGCTCCCTTCCCTTCCACCAGATCAGAGGCAGGAAGCTGGGCTTAGAACCTTCGTGTCACTTCTCACTGGGTTTTCTCCACAGAGAGTCCTTGGAGCTGCTCGGCTAACTTGGAGTCTGTAAAGCTCATTCCCTGTTGTTCCCTCCCACCTGGCAGACAGCACTCCCCTCATACTGGTGCAGCAGCAGGTTCCCCCTGCTGCCCTGTGCTCCCTACAATTCCCCCTCAGGAGGCATTACAATGGAACTTGTGTAGAAGCCTCCCTTGATCACTCTTCCTGACTCTCTCCTCACTTGGGAACATCACAGGTAGATTCTTTAATTGTGAAGCACTTTGGGAAACAATTTGTACCCAAAACACTATACAGCAAGTTCAATGGCTCAGGGATGGCCTCAGGCCCTGCCCATGAGTTCCAGACAAGCCATGAAGATGGAGCTTATATGCCATGCTGATGGTTGTTTTAGAGACAGCACAAGAACGAGGAGTGCAATGTCTATATCAGACCCTGCCTGTGGGTTCTAGGCCAGCCATGAGCTGCTCTTAATGCAGATGGAATGTCTACAGGCCCTCCATGGAGTGGCTCAGTCCAGCCATGGTGATGGGGCTCACAGAATCAGGGATGAGAGCCATGTGACAACAGGCAGTCCCCAGAGGATGTGTGTCTGAGCAGCCTGCTCCCAGTCTAGCCTGCCTCCTCTGCTTGGCGGCCGCATTGTTTAGGACATTGGTCGTCTCCATGGCACTGGGCTGGGACGTCCTCTGCGTGGGAGGGGATACTCACAGAGCCAAGGGCTCCACCTGGCCAGCTTGGCTCAGTGGGTAACGCACGCCCTGGCAGGCTGACAAGCTCTCCTATCCCCTTGGCAGGCGAGCTGAGCTCCTCTTGCCCACCCCCCAGGCACCCCGCTCCTGGGCGACGTCACAGGAAGCATCGTGGGAGGCTGACCTCACTTTCTGCAGAGCGTGAGTTGCACATTCGCCCTCCAGCGGCGCCACCAGCCAGCCAAGCCTCCCACTTGCTGACCTTTCCATTGGACTCGCTCCCATCCCTGCTTACTCCACCTTCCCTCCCCTTCCCACTGACCCCCCCCCACTCTCCTGTCTAGACTGTGCCCATCTCTCCTTCCTTCTCATCAATTCCCCATGCCACCTACCCATCTCTTCTGCCTTCTCATCAGCCCCTCTTTCCTCTCTGCTTTGGATGATAGTTGAATACCCCAGAGCTCCCTCCATGGCGTTATCCCACCCCTGCAGGATTGAAAGTTGAGTCCAGAGGTCCCCTTAGAGATGGGAATTAGAGAAAGAAGAACAGCCTCACAGTGAGACACGTAGGGATATGTGGGACAGCAGTCTACAGATCCCCTACCCCTGAGACCAGAGAGCAGAACACTGAAACCTCTGCAGAGGGGAGATTTGGAACTCTGGTGACTCTTCAATTTCCTACTTTAAATCCTCCCCAAGCCTCTAAAATGCGCCCCCCCCCCAGTGAGAACCTGGGGCTGGGATCTCAGGGGCCCAGCCTGCAGCTCTGTCCCCTCCCACTTCCAAGGGGATTCCAGGTGACTCTGCTGGGAGCCAGCCAGGGGATTTCTCCACACACAGAGCAGACACTTGGCTTCCCCATTTCTCAGTGCAGTGATAAGCACCTGTCACCCCCTGCTGGGCAAAACATGAAATGCAATAGTTTGCCAGAACCGAAAGACCAGCTGTGTCTGTCTGTCTCTCAAAACAAAGCCCACAGAAAATAAGTAAAGATCTATATGAACCGGCTGCTGTGTTGGTCAGGACAGTCTCTGCAGGGAGCCAGTGGTTCTGGAGTGTATGTGACTTGACCCTGAGTGAGTGTGTATGGGGGGGTGGGCAGTGATGGCTGAGTCTGTGAGAGGGTGGGGTGGGGAAGCAGTACTGGAGAGTGAGGGGTGACCTTGTTTGAGTGTGGAGACGCAGTACTGGGGAGCAGTAGTACAGGGGCTGTCCTGTGAGAGTATGGTCAATGGTGCTTAGGGGGAGCTGAATGTGGGGGGATCAGTGCTGTGGAGCAGCAGGAGCTGACCCTGTGTGAGAAATGGGGGAGAAGTCCTGGGGAGCAGGGGGTGCTGACCCTGTGTAATTGCAGGGCGGGAGAGGGCTGTGCTGCGGAATAGGCAGGACTGACCCTGTGTGAATGAGGAGTGGGGGAGCAGTTGATGGTGGCGCTTGGGAGAGCTGACCCTGCGTGAGTGGGTTGGTTGGTTGGTTGGGAGGGCCATACTATGATGAGATTGACCTTGTGTGGGTGTGGGAGTCTCCCCCAGAGGGGGTTATAGACTCTCCCTGACCTAACTTAAGGGCTCCACAGACTCAAGCCCCCCCCACTCCTCGCCTAGTGTTAGCCTCCCCTGTGTCTAGTCAGTGCAGGATCTGGGAGGTCAGGAGAGAAGAGGGGAGGGGTACACATGGCTTTGGACACTGCAGAGGTGTGTGCATCACGATCCCAGCCAGCTGTGTCCTATCCACAGCTCCATAAAACTCTGAGCCCCGAGGCCAGAGATCCTCATGGGGATGCTCGCTCCATAGGAGCCCGGTTGCTGTTCAAGCGCTGGAACGGACACTCTAAACACCAAATCTGGTTCTTCTCCTCCTCTTGGGAGGAAAAGAGGCTGTGCCAAGAGCCTCTTCCAGGGGCCACTAATGTCCAGTTCCAGTTCTTCTCCTCCTTCTGAAGGCTAAACCCAGATCCCATTGCAGGGGCACAGGGATGCAGTTCTGGTTCTTCACCTTTCTGCAGGACTGCACCCAGAGCCCATTCTATGGTGGGCACGGAAATCCCATATGTAACATGTTTGGTGGGTCTGAACCCAGTCCCCAACATCCACAATCCTAATGGGCACCACCTAATGGGCTCCCAGCAGAGAAGCCAAGGAGTTACTGTGCCAGAGAGTTATTGAGCTAATTCAGGGACGGTGGGGACTTGGCCCTCCAGCTTCCCTGGCTGTACCTGTTCTAGGAGATTCAGAGAGGGCTCTGGACTTTGGGGTTCTCACCTCAACCTGTCATCCCCTCCATTCCCCGCCCCCTCCACCCCAAACTAAGCAACACACCCTAAACATATTAACCAGAGAGAGATGGGGAAAAGAAAGGAAAGGAGATGGGAAAGAAAGGAGGGGCAATGCCTCAGACACATGTTTATGCCTCAAGGGGCTGTGGGATTTATTGCAAGCGAAGTAGTATTAAGCATAAGGCCGCTAGCTTGTCTTAAATTAAGATAATCTCAGCATCTCT